TAATAACACACTGATGTTTTAAATCTTCTAGTCCCAAAAAAGTAATCTAATACATTACTAACAAATACAACTTTCAATGAAACCGTTCCGGAAAAAAATACAAGAGTTGAAAAATGATACAACAAAAACTTCCAGGTGGAAAGTCAAGTAACTGCACGTAAAACCCAACTTCAAGCAAATTAACAGGCCAAAATTTTAAAAAAATTAAGTTCTAGAACCCACAACCACTAAAAAAAAACCCTTTGAGACTAAAAAAATATTGAACTATATTAAGCTAGCAATAAGGAGCTTTAACTTTATATCAGGACAATAGGGCTAGAAAAACCAAGTCTTTCTGAAGCGCTAAAACTAAATTATGTTATTCAAACTCTCACATTCAAAAAGCTTGAAAATTTTCATTAGCAGGCTTTCGCTTACCTTCCTTAACCTGAAATTATGTCTTACGCTACCTTTTTCTATTGCCTACTGATGTTCAAGTGTTCTCAATACTAACAGAGCTTCCTTCCCAACTTAAGTTTTCTTTAATATAAAACAAATTTTTTCAAATAATCTTCTACAAAGTTCTTCAGGGTAGCTCTCAAAACTAAATAATTACACTACGTCCTGAACACACAGAAAACACTACACATGGCAAAAAGACAACAAAGCTTTATCTCTCCCTACGCAACATCCATTCAGGAAGAGGTTTCGAGAGACTAGAAGTGAAGCATAAAAAGAAAAAGTAAGCTAAAATATTTCCGAGCCGCGAAGTTCGGTGGTCTATTAAACAATCTCTCAACCGTCAAATGTTTGGAACGGTCGAACAGCTAATCTACTTTTCTTTTTTATCCACTTTAACATGTGTTATGCAGATAAGTTACAAGCAATGGGTTAAATTACCATACGTACGTGGAAGTGAATAGTGAAAATCATACCTGAGCCGCAAACGACAAAAATAAATAGTCCAATAAGCCAAGTTGATACGCTATACTTATCCTCTTGTGGTTTCTGTAGTAAAAGAAAATTTACCAGAGAAATAAACGAATAAAATAATGTTCTACAATAATGAAAGTCAAGAAACACCCAGAAACCTCCAGCGAAGCAGATGAAGAGCTAACTTTTAAAATCAAAAGTAAGAGCTAGACACAGAAAAGCTTCCAATTGAATTCATAAAATTTCAAAACTAACAAGAGTCTTCTGAACATTTCCTCGTGAAGTGACATTCTTACTAAATGTATTATTCGCAACCTGGATTCTCTGTTTTGGGGCCATTTCTGTGTTACGGGAAATCAGCCAAACGACTCTATTCCTGAGCACATAAATTAATTAAGCCGCAACAAAGGTCTTATCAACACACAATATATTGATGACCAACAAAAATAAATTCTACATAATACACAACCGACACGTAAAAATTAGATAAGGAGACTTGACCAATTTAACCAAAGTCCAGTAACCAAAAATTCCTTCTAAAAATTTCTAACAAACAGAAATTATCTCTTTCATTTTGAAGCAAATCTCGTCCTCAAAAATGACACGAAAAGCGTCCAAACTGAGATAATCCAAAAGAGAAATGCTGAGGAGGTTTTCAAATAAGACTAATAAAAAAGGGAAAATGAGACAGGTGACGAAACAAAAATTAAGAAAAAAAATTTGCTGTTATCAAAGGAGCAGTAAAGAAAAAAATTTTTAACCAACGCGGGATATGAAAAGCGGCAAATTCTAACTGCGTATCCAGTGCAAAAGTCCACGTCAACAAAAATAAAAACAGAAGAAAGCAATAAAGCACCTGTTACAAGTATCTTAGGAGTTTCCTTAACCTACATAAAAATGAAATAACTACGGAGTAGAAGACTACCGTTGAACAGTTATCCACTACAAAACTAAATTAACTGAGAAACAAAACAGAATGATGCTAAATAAAACTGCAACAACTATCAAGATTCTTAGTCCGCAAATCCCGTTAGCATAAAGCAGAAAGCGCTGTACAATGAGGTCGTCCTTATACGTCTCACAAGCAAATGCAATGCAAATGTAAAAAACTTTCCTCTCGGCATAATTCAGCCAGTCAAAGTCGAACTAAAAGGTCCTGAAGCGAAAATTATTTCAAAATAGTCGTCTAATAAGAGCCATATAATAACCTTTTTCCTTTCTTGGCAAGTCCGTAAAAAAAAATTGGCGACTAACCAACACGCAGTGAATGGATCGTTAGCCAGCGGGTTGGGCCAAACGGAAATTCATCGGTCATTTCACACCGATTGTCACTGACCAGTCAAGTATCGGTTTAGACGGAATTTTGCATATCAGTCCTTCCCTTCCATTTCACGCACTTCTTTCATTTAACCTCTCAGACCTGTTTTAAATTTTGCTTCTTTATAGGGTTTGGAAATGAATTTGAAAAACACAAGGAAAACGTTGAAAGTGGCTCCCACCATCAAGTTCTGCTCCAGGAAGTTGCAAACTTTACCTGGTTTTAACCCAACTTTCCTACCATTTTAAGTTTGAAATTCGGGTCAGTTAGGACGGAATTCATTTGTTTTTTTTTTTTTTTT